CCAGCCACGTGCCGCAGCCGGGCCACCCAGTACCAGCCACGTGCCGCAGCCGGGCCACACAGTACCAGCCACGTGCCGCAGCCGGGCCACCCAGTACCAGCCACGTGCCGCAGCCGGGCCACACAGTACCAGCCACGTGCCGCAGCCGGGCCACCCAGTACCAGCCACGTGCCGCAGCCGGGCCACACAGGGCCAGCCACGTGCCGCAGCCGGGCCACCCAGTACCAGCCACGTGCCGCAGCCGGGCCACCTAGTACCAGCCACGTGCCGCAGCCGGGCCACACAGGGCCAGCCACGTGCCGCAGCCGGGCCACCCAGTACCAGCCACGTGCCGCAGCCGGGCCACACAGGACCAGCCACGTGCCGCAGCCGGGCCACCCAGTACCAGCCACGTGCCGCAGCCGGGCCACCCAGTACCAGCCACGTGCCGCAGCCGGGCCACCCAGTACCAGCCACGTGCCGCAGCCGGGCCACCCAGTACCAGCCACGTGCCGCAGCCGGGCCACACAGTACCAGCCACGTGCCGCAGTCGGGCCACCCAGTACCAGCCACGTGCCGCAGCCGGGCCACACAGGGCCAGCCACGTGCCGCAGCCGGGCCACCCAGTACCAGTCACGTGCCGGAGCCGGGCCACCCAGTACCAGCCACGTGCCGGAGCCGGGCCACACAGGGCCAGCCACGTGCCGCAGCCGGGCCACCCAGTACCAGCCACGTGCCGCAGCCGGGCCACCCAGTATCAGCCACGTGCCGCAGCCGGGCCACACAGGGCCAGCCACGTGCCGCAGCCGGGCCACCCAGTACCAGCCACGTGCCGCAGCCGGGCCACACAGGACCAGCCACGTGCCGCAGCCGGGCCACCCAGTACCAGCTACGTGCTGCAGCCGGGCCACACAGTACCAGCCACGTGCCGCAGCCGGGCCACCCAGTACCAGCCACGTGCCGCAGCCGGGCCACACAGTACCAGCCACGTGCCGCAGCCGGGCCACACAGTGCCAGCCACGTGCCGCAGCCGGGCCACCCAGTGCCACCCAGTGCCGCAGCCGGGCCACACAGTGCCGCAGCTGCTATCATACAGTTCGTGTTCGAGGAGTTATTAACTGTATTTGTTCGGAGTATTTGTTCCTGTATTAGTTAATTTAGTTGTATTATTATTGTATGTGTTACAAAGGTGAATATGGTGATGGATGCTCTGTGACTGTTGATGGTGACACTATTCCTGCCAGCCAGGAGCCTGCCACTCGTTGGTCTTACCTAAACACCGCGTCCTCTCAACCAAAACGTCGCGTTTTGTACGTTATGGCAACTAACGTTACAAATGTGCCCTACCAGCAAAGGTAACTGTTCACACACATCCTCTCTCTCTCTATGCATCTGACTCGGTAGGTTAGGTGGGAGGCTTGGGTTAGTACGTTTCTGGTTAAGACAGGAGGTTGGCTTTGTGACGGAGTGGCGGAGCCCTGGGGCCAGATTCACGAAAACACTTACGCAAGCACTTACGAACGTGTACATCTTTCCACAATCTTTGACGGCTTTGGTTACATTTATTAAACAGTTTACAAGCATGAAAACTTCCCATTCAACTGTTGTTATTGTTATAAACAGCCTCCTGGTGCTTCGGAGCTTATTAACTGTTTAATAATTGTAAACAAAGCCGCCAAAGATTGAGGAAAGATGTACAGGTTCGTAAGTGTTTGCGTAAGTGCTTCGTGAATCTGGCCCCTGGTGAAGAGAGAGCAGTAAGAGGTATGGGGAACGGTGAGAGGTGGAGCCAACACAAGTTGCCAGCAAGAATGCCGTGTGAACGTAAGAATGAACATCATTCAAAATAAATAGAGAAATCTAAGCATTTAGGGCGGGGCGGGTAGGAGGGGACCACGCCCAGAGTATTACAGTAATAGCTCACTACACAGCACCGCTCTTTACTTCCCTGCACAAGCCAAGCTCTTACTTTCCTCTGTGTTGTACCAGTGTGTGATCTCGCGAGTTCTTGCAACCGTGCCTGAGACCAGACACCAGGTCAACCTCATCAGTTCAGCTCTTGCAGTTTCGGCCTGCAACTCTGGCAGTCACACCCTGGCACGTCCTGCAACAACCTGTCGAGTCCTGACTTACAAATTTCTACCATTTGGTTAAGCAATATTTCCCATGTTTACAAAACGTTGACATTTTAGAGCCTTGATGCTGATACTATTAGTGAGTATGAGCGGTCAGCAGGACGCCAGTGGTGAGGCTGTGTCCCTGCTGAATGGTGCGGGCTGCCGTAGGCTCGGGCACCCCGCCTGGCCCTCCCCACACACAGCTGGAGCACCGCGGCACACTGGTGAAGGGAGGGTTGTGGCGGCGTGTAGCAAGAGACTCTTTAGTAACCCCCTTCACCATCTTGAGCCTCCTGAGGCAACATAACTACGGTCTTGACAACACGGCTACAAATATACACACAGCCGCCCAACATTGACTTTTACACTAAACGTAACTCTAGTTATATGTTGTCGCGTCCTGGCACTAATATGTGAGGTCTTGACGCGTGACTAGTGAGGTACCAGGCGTGACTTACCTGTTGATTACTGAGGTACCTGGCGTGACTTACCTGTTGATTACTGAGGTACCTGGCGTGACTTACCTGTTGATTACTGAGGTACCTGGCGTGACTTACCTGTTGATTACTGAGGTACCTGGCGTGACTTACCTGTTGATTACTGAGGTACCTGGCGTGACTTACCTGTTGATTACTGAGGTACCTGGCGTGACTTACCTGTTGATTACTGAGGTACCTGGCGTGACTTACCTGTTGATTACTGAGGTACCTGGCATGACTTACCTGCTGACTACTGAGGTACCTGGCGTGACTTACCTGTTGATTACTGAGGTACCTGGCGTGACTTACCTGTTGATTACTGAGGTACCTGGCGTGACTTACCTGTTGATTACTGAGGTACCTGGCATGACTTACCTGCTGACTACTGAGGTACCTGGCATGACTTACCTGCTGACTACTGAGGTACCTGGCATGACTTACCTGCTGACTACTGAGGTACCTGGCATGACTTACCTGCTGACTACTGAGGTACCTGGCATGACTTACCTGCTGACTACTGAGGTACCTGGCATGACTTACCTGCTGACTACTGAGGTACCTGGCATGACTTACCTGCTGACTACTGAGGTACCTGGCGTGACTTACCTGCTGACTACTGAGGTACCTGGCGTGACTTACCTGCTGACTAGTGAGGTACCTGGCATGACTTACCTGCTGACTACTGAGGTACCTGGCGTGACTTACCTGCTGACTAGTGAGGTACCTGGCGTGACTTACCTGCTGACTAGTGAGGTACCTGGCGTGACTTACCTGCTGACTACTGAGGTACCTGGCGTGACTTACCTGCTGACTACTGAGGTACCTGGCGTGACTTACCTGCTGACTACTGAGGTACCTGGCGTGACTTACCTGCTGACTAGTGAGGTACCTGGCGTGACTTACCTGCTGACTACTGAGGTACCTGGCGTGACTTACCTGCTGACTAGTGAGGTACCTGGCGTGACTTACCTGCTGACTAGTGGGGTACCTGGCGTGACTTACCTGCTGACTACTGAGGTACCTGGCGTGACTTACCTGCTGGCTAGTGAGGTACCTGGCATAACTTACCTGCTGACTAGTGAGGTACCTGGCGTGACTTACCTGCTGACTAGTGAGGTACCTGGCGTGACTTACCTGCTGACTACTGAGGTTCCTGGCGTGACTTACCTGCTGGCTAGTGAGGTACCTGGCATGACTTACCTGCTGACTAGTGAGGTACCTGGCGTGACTTACCTGCTGACTAGTGAGGTACCTGGCGTGACTTACCTGTTGATTACTGAGGTACCTGGCATGACTTACCTGCTGACTAGTGAGGTTGATACCTGGTTGATGGGGTTCTGTCAGTTCTTCTACTCCCCAAGCCCGGCCCGAGGCCAGGCTTGACTTGTGAGAGTTTGGTCCACCAGGCTGTTGCTTGGAGCGGCCCGCAGGCCCACATACCCACCACAGCCCGGTTGGTCCGGCACTCCTGGGAGGAATAAATCTAGTGTCCTCTTGAAAATGTCCACGGTTGTTCCGGCAATATTTCTTATGCTTGCTGGGAGGACGTTGAACAATCGTGGACCTCTGATGTTTATACAGTGTTCTCTGATTGTGCCTATGGCACCTCTGCTCTTCACTGGTTCTATTCTACATTTTCTTCCATATCGTTCACTCCAGTATGTTGTTATTTTACTGTGTAGATTTGGTACTTGGCCCTCCAGTATCTTCCATGTGTATATTATTTGATATCTCTCTCGTCTTCTTTCTAGTGAGTACATTTGGAGAGCTTTAAGACGATCCCAATAATTTAGGTGCTTTATCGCGTCTATGCGTGCCGTATATGTTCTCTGTATTCCCTCTATTTCAGCAATCTCTCCTGTTCTGAAGGGGGAAGTGAGTACTGAGCAGTACTCAAGACGGGACAACACAAGTGACCAGAAGAGTACAACCATTGTGATGGGATCCCTGGATTTGAAAGTTCTCGTAATCCATCCTATCATTTTTCTGGCTGTCGCAATATTTGCTTGGTTATGCTCCCTAAACGTTAGGTCGTCAGACATCATTATTCCCAAATCCTTTACATGCTGTTTTCCTACTATGGGTACATTTGATTGTGTTTTGTACTCTGTATTATGTTTAAGGTCCTCATTTTTACCGTACCTGAGTACCTGGAATTTATCACTGTTAAACATCATGTTATTTTCTGATGCCCAGTCGAAAACTTTATTAATATCAGCTCATGACTTACCTGCTGACTAGTGAGGTACCTGGCGTGACTTACCTGCTGACTAGTGAGGTACCTGGCGTGACTTACCTGCTGACTAGTGAGGTACCTGGCGTGACTTACCTGCTGACTAGTGAGGTACCTGGCGTGACTTACCTGCTGACTAGTGAGGTACCTGGCGTGACTGAGGTATGAAGGGAAGTGGGTAGGGTGACTTACCTTGCGCCAGGGCGGTGTTGGAGAGGCCCCGCCCCATCCAGCCGACCACGCCCCCCGCCACCACCACCTCCACGCCCACACACCCGCCGGCACACACCAGCCACCACCCGCCCTTCTGTCGACACGCCCACACAGGCTTAGGGGTAATATTACTCCTCACTACTCCACACTTTTGTTTATTGGTGTAACACTTGTGAGTGGTGTGAGTCTTATGGGGTGTGAGTCTTATGGGGGTGTGAGTCTTATGGGGGTGTGAGAGTCTTATGGGGGTGTGTGAGTCTTATGGGGGTGTGTGAGAGTCTTATGGGGGTGTGAGAGTCTTATGGGGGGGTGTGAGTCTTATGGGGGTGTGTGAGAGTCTTATGGGGGTGTGAGAGTCTTATGGGGGTGTGTGAGAGTCTTATGGGGGTGTGAGAGTCTTATGGGTGTGTGTGAGAGTCTTATGGGGGTGTGAGAGTCTTATGGGTGTGTGTGAGAGTCTTATGGGGGTGTGTGAGAGTCTTATGGGGGTGTGAGAGTCTTATGGGTGTGTGTGAGAGTCTCATGGGGGGGGTGTGAGTCTTATGGGGGTGTGAGTCTTATGGGGGTGTAACACTTGTGAGTGGTGTGAGTCTTATGGGGGTGTAACACTTGTGAGTGGTGTGAGTCTTATGGGGGTGTGAGAGTCTTATGGGGGTGTGTGTCTTATGGGGGTGTGAGAGTCTTATGGGTGTGTGTGAGTCTTATGGGTGTGTGAGTCTTATGGGGGTGTGTGAGTCTTATGGGGGTGTGTGAGAGTCTCATGAGGGGGGTGTGAGTCTTATGGGGTGTGAGTCTTATGGGGGTGTGAGTCCTATGGGGGTGTGAGTCTTATGGGGGTGTGAATCTTATGGGGGTGTGAGTCTTATGGGGGTGTGAGTCTTATGGGGGTGTGAGTCTTATGGGGGTGTGAGTCTTATGGGGGTGTGAGTCTTATGGGGGGGTGTGAGTCTTATGGGGGTGTGAGTCTTATGGGGGTGTGAGAGTCTTATGGGTGTGTGTGAGAGTCTTATGGGTGTGTGTCTTATGGGGGTGTGTGAGTCTTATGGGGGTGTGAGAGTCTTATGGGGGTGTGTGAGTCTTATGGGGGTGTGAGAGTCTCATGGGGGTCTGAGAGTCTTATGGGGGTGTGTGAGTCTCATGGGGGTCTGAGAGTCTTATGGGGGTGTGTGAGTCTTATGGGTGTGTGTGAGTCTCATGGGGGTCTGAGAGTCTTATGGGGGTGTGAGAGTCTTATGGGGGTGTGTGAGTCTTATGGGGATGTGTGAGTCTTATGGGTGTGTGAGTCTTATGGAGGTGTGTGAGAGTCTTATGGGGGTGTGTGAGTCTTATGGGGGTGTGAGAGTCTTATGGGTGTGTGTGAGTCTTATGGGGGTGTGAGAGTCTTATGGGGGTGGGAGATTCTTATGGGGGTGTGTGTGAGAGTCTTATGGGTGTGTGTGAGTCTTATGGGGGTGTGAGAGTCTTATGGGGGTGTGTGTGAGAGTCTTATGGGGTGTGAGAGTCTTATGGGTGTGTGAGAGTCTTATGGGGGTGTGTGAGTCTTATGGGGGTGTGAGAGTCTTATGGGGGTGTTTGAGAGTCTTATGGGTGTGTGAGAGTCTTATGGGGGTGTGAGAGTCTTATGGGTGTGTGAGAGTCTTATGGGGGTGTGAGTCTTATGGGGGTGTGAGAGTCTTATGGGGGTGTGAGTCTTATGGGGGTGTGTGAGAGTCTTATGGGGGAGTGTGTAAGTCTTATGGGGGTGTGAGAGTCTTATGGGTGTGTGTGTGTGAGTCTTATGGGGGGGGTGTGAGAGTCTTAAGGGGGGTGTGAGAGTCTTATGGGGGTGTGAGAGTCTTATGGGGGCGTGAGTCTTATGGGGTGTGAGAGTCTTATGGGGGTGTGTGAGAGTCTTATGGGGGTGTGAGAATCTTATGGGGGTGTGAGAGTCTTATGGGGGTGTGTGAGTCTTCTGGGGGTGTGAGTCTTATGGGGGTGTGAGAGTCTTATGGGGGTGTGTTAGTCTTCTGGGGGTGTGTGAGTCTTATGGGGGTGTGTGAGTCTTAATGGGGTGTGAGAGTCTTATGGGGGTGTGAGAGTCTTATGGGAGTGTGAGAGTCTTATGGGGGTGTGAGAGTCTTATGGGGTGTGTGAGAGTCTTATGGGGTGTGTGAGAGTCTTATGGGTGTGTGTGAGAGTCTTATGGGGGTGTGAGAGTCTTATGGGGGTGTGTGAGTCTTATGGGTGTGTGTGAGAGTCTTATGGGTGTGTGAGAGTCTTATGGGGGTGTGTGAGAGTCTTATGGGGGGTGAGAGTCTTATGGGGGTGTGAGAGTCTTATGGGGGTTGTGTGAGTCTTAAGGGGGTGTGAGAGTCTTATGGGTGTGTGTGAGTCTTATGGGTGTGTGTGAGAGTCTTATGGGTGTGTGTGAGAGTCTTATGGGTGTGTGAGAGTCTTATGGGTGTGTGAGAATCTTATGGGTGTGTGTGAGTCTTATGGGGGTGTGAGAGTCTTATGGGGGTGTGAGTCTTATCGGGGTGTGAGAGTCTTATGGGGGTGTGAGTCTTATCGGGGTGTGTGAGTCTTATGGGGGTGTGAGAGTCTTAAGGGGGTGTGAGAGTCTTATGGGGGTGTGAGAGTCTTATGGGGGTGTGAGTCTTATGGGGGCGTGAGAGTCTTGTGGGGCGTGAGAGTCTTATGGGTGTGTGAGAGTCTTATGGGTGTGTGAGAGTCTTATGGGGGTATGAGAGTCTTATGGGTGTGTGAGAGTCTTATGGGTGTGTGAGAGTCTTAAGGGGGAGTGTGAGAGTCTTATGGGTGTGTGAGAGTCTTATGGGTGTGTGAGAGTCTTAAGGGGGAGTGTGAGAGTCTTATGGGTGTGTGTGAGAGTCTTATGGGTGTGTGTGAGAGTCTTATGGGTGTGTGCGTGAGAGTCTTAAGGGGGGGGTGTGAGAGTCTTATGGGTGTGTGTGTGAGAGTCTTATGGGTGTGTGTGAGAGTCTTATGGGTGTGTGCGTGAGAGTCTTAAGGGGGAGTGTGAGAGTCTTATGGGTGTGTGTGTGAGAGTCTTATGGGTGTGTGTGTGAGAGTCTTATGGGTGTGTGTGAGAGTCTTATGGGTGTGTGCGTGAGAGTCTTAAGGGGGAGTGTGAGAGTCTTATGGGTGTGTGTGTGAGAGTCTTATGGGTGTGTGTGTGAGAGTCTTATGGGTGTGTGTGAGAGTCTTATGGGGGTGTGTGAGAGTTTGATGGGGGTGTGAGAGTCTTATGGGTGTGTGAGAGTCTTATGGGTGTGTGAGAGTCTTATGGGGGTGTGAGAGTCTTATGGGGGTGTGAGAGTCTTATATGGATGCGGGAGTGTGATGTGGGTGTTGTAGTTTTCCGGTGGGAGTTACAGTGTTGTGGGGGGAATTACAGTGTTGTGGTGGGAGTTACAGTGTTGTGGTGGGAGTTACAGTGTTGTGGTGGGAGTTACAGTTACAGTGTTGTGGTGGGGTTACAGTGGGAGTTACAGTGTTGTGGTGGGAGTTACAGTGTTGTGGTGGGAGTTACAGTGTTGTGGTGGGAGTTACAGTGTTGTGGTGGGAGTTACAGTGTTGTGGTGGGAGTTACAGTGTTGTGGTGGTGGGAGTTACAGTGTTGTGGTGGGAGTTACAGTGTTGTGGTGGGAGTTACAGTGTTGTGGTGGGAGTGGGAGTTACAGTGTTACAGTGTTGTGGTGTTACAGTGTTGTGGTGGGAGTTACAGTGTTGTGGTGGTGGGAGTTACAGTGTTGTGGTGGGAGTTACAGTGTTGTGGTGGGAGTTACAGTGTTGTGGTGGGTACAACACACAAGCAACACAGTGTTCGTGTACTGGTGTTGAGGTGTGGCAGCGCCTAAATGCTGCAGCAATATCATTTTATTATCATTTATTTATAAAAAATTTAACTTATCACAATCTATTACAGAGACAAAAATTAATGAAATATGCACAAGCGGTCGTCATTGGGTAGTCGAATATGATACACAAAATTATTGCATATTTTACGGTATTTATGTAGCATTTTGAACTGAATAATTGTAAAATGTCTGTGTCTGTCTGTCTCTTTATCTCTGGCTGTATCACTTTATCTCTCTGTCTCTGCATCTATTTGTCTGTCTGTCAATCTCTCAGTCTCTCTTTCTTTCTCCCTCTGTCTCTTTCTCTATGCATGTCTGTCTATCGTTCATTGTTTCTCTGTCTTTCTATCTCTGTCGATCAGTATGTCTCTCTTTCTGTCTCAATCTGCCTGTGTTTATCAGTCTGTAGCTCTTGTTGTCTATGTCTCTCTCTGTCTGTCTCTCGAGTGCACAATGCACCTCTAATATCGTTTAAGTAATCTGTATTATAGCAGATTCGATAACATTCCTGTTGAGACAGTTGTTGCGGGTATAAAATCATGTCACATAAATATTAATAATAGATTATACATGTTGGATTCATAAATAAATTATTAATTAAAAAAATAGACTCAGTAAGAGGACTAATGTGCACTAATCCTATTCATTATTAATATAATAAGTAGTAATAATAGTAAGAGTATTTAAGGCGATAATTACCAAGGTAAAGACGCCTCCGATGGCGGACACAATAAGGACGCCCCCAGCGATGAAGAGGCACACCGTGACGTAGAGGCCAACTCGCACCTTGATTGGCTCCCCATTGTGTAGCTCCGCCTCCGCCTTCTCTTGCTCCGCCTCTATGAAGGATTTCTTCCAGTCCGACATGTTGGCGCGGAGACCACCACCGCCAGGAGGTGTCCTACGGTCCCTCCCTCGTCGGCGCCTGTGTGTCAGAGAGTGCAAGAGTGCGTTAACACTCCCACATATACACTGGTCGGTGTATATACACTGGTATATACACCAGTGTATATACACCGACTCCCACCGGCCTATGACAGCCCCATACCACCCATGTGTCATGTATACAGTTTGGGTGAGGCTAACCCCAAGCATCTGGACTCCCAACCTGAACATACAAACAATTCAATTTTATACCAAAAGATTGTCTTATTATTTATTTCTCTCTCGATGCTATACTATCAAGATAACATTTAAGGGTCATTATACGAGACAGTTTATCTTATGGTCCAGGGAGAGGAAACTGAATATTAAAGACAATGATCATTACATTTTTCTATTTTAAATCCTAATTTGTACGACGGAGACCTGTGACCGCCATCTCAGGCGTGGCGCATAGTGCGGTAAACACACAGTAAGACTTGACATACTCCTATGATAATATTCATAAATGACGAGTGTGGATCCCTGCGTTGACCAGTGTTCATAGTTCACCTCAGCCTAGTCTCTTTGTTGACGTTGTTCTCATGGCTGCTGTGACACGGAGACTTGCCTCGCACAGGTACGATGACCGCAACCAAAAGCACCTTGAGTGCCGCTTGCTTACCTATCACATCCCTCCAAACACACACCGAAACTACGACGTTGGTACAACCTTCGAACAAGTTTTAACACCTAACCAGTTATTACAACCAATATAGCCGGTTGTAACAACGTTCTAATACGTCATAAACACGTTAAGCCAAGATGTAACAACTTTATTACAAGTTGTAACAAGCGGAAAATAGAGACAGTTTCGGTTTGTGTTTCCAGGGATGTTCCCTCAGTTGTGTTGTGTTTTTCCCGTTTTCTCAGTTCTCAACATCCTCAGATGTTCCCAAATTCTTGGTAGAAATATCAAGGGAAACAGAACTCGGGAAAAGGCTGTACCAGACATGATAGACTCATCACCTAGAAGTGTCAGGAAGTAGTAGACAAGTTTGTCTTAGTCCAGAATGAAAAACTTCAATGCAGAGAAGGACCCCCATGGTTTAATAAGTGATCTAAGGTGTCAGAGCAACACAGTACAAGGGGCATGGAGAAAGTACAGGAATACTAGAAAACCAGAGAACAGAGGAAGCTGCCAGGAATGAGTACCTCAGTGTGAGAAGAGAAGCGGAGGGATAGAAGGAGAACGACAGCAAATAAAACAAAGACTCAAACTGTTTTACAGCCACATCAGGAGGAAAACAACAGTGAAAGAATAAGTAATGAAACTGAGAAAAGGGGTAGGACAAGCTCACTGAGAGTGACAAGGAGGTGTGTGAAGAACTCTACGAAAGATTCCAGAAGGACTTCACAATAGAGCAAGAAATGCCTGAACTGAGAGAGGCGGCATTAAACTAAACATCACTGGAAGATTTTTCATTACCAGTGATGATGTGAGAAAGAATCTGCTAGAACTGGACCTGATAAAGGCTGTTCGTCCACACTGAATTTCACCATGGATACTAGAAAAAGGAGCACAAGCACTATGCTCACCACCATTCTATGGCGTATAGTAGGTCACTAGAAGCAGGAAGGAGGACTACCTGAAAGTTGGAAGACGGCTAATGCAGTCCAGGTATACAAGAAGGCACTGAACTCTGGCAAGTGTCTAACTTTCATACCTGGCAAGTGATGAACAAGTTAGTGTAATATCCCTGGTAACACAAGTTAATGTAATATCGATGGTAGGACAAGTTTGTGTAATATCCTTGATACTATCAGGAGAAGTAGCCTCTTAAATATAACACTTCAACGGTTATCGGTTAATATGAAGCCTCATCCAGGAGAACTTACCATCATGTCATATTCATGTAATATGTAAGCTGATGAAAATGCTTTGAAATTATCATCACACTTGGTGTTTCGAATACAAAAGTGCTGTACGAGATTTTTTTTATTAACACACATATGTACATCTACATTTGTGCAGCTGCCCTCCCGCCAAACACACGACTAAACTACAACGTTGCTGCAACGTTCCAACAAGTTTTAACACCTAACAATTGTATCAACCAATTTAGCAAGTTGTAACAACGTTCTAATACGTCATACAAACGTTATAACAAGATGTAACAACTTTATTAGAAGTTGTAACAAGGGAATCATAGGGACCGTTACGTTATGTGTTTGCAGGGCCTAGACTATATGAAGGGGAGTACAGAGTTTGTCAAAAAACTAGCTACGTGATGCTAAAGCTTCCCATCACACAGGATGGTTTGTCATACAGAGGCATGTGATAAGTAGTCTGCACTGGCCGACTCTGGGTGCATTATGAGGATATCATCAACAACACGATCTGAAAGAACAGTGATTGCAAAGCTCCAGGTACCTCATGCCAACGAGTCTGAATGGTCTAATAACTGGGCATTCGATGATGTAGTGCGGGAGATCATGCCGCAGTTCCTGCTCACAGAGTTTGCACCTGGAGTGCTCAGGATTGGGAGATCCGTCACCTGTAACCACCTGCCACAGGTAACGGTAACCCAACCTGATCCTGGCAACCACTGTGTCGCACAATCTGGTCGACGTTTTGTGCTGCTCATAAACAAAGGTTTAAGATCTGAAAAAAATTATAGCTTTTTATACTGGTGCTTTCAGGCAGCTGGGCGTCAGTAATTTTTCTCCTACTAGATCTGAGTGTTTGGACCAATACAGTTTTGACAGCAGAAATGGGGATAACTAGGTCTAATTCAACTTCATCTTTGTTACACGCTAATTTGGCTGCAATGTCTGTCTCATTATGATGGGTTATATTTATGTGTGATGGCATCTATACATAGGAGATTCGAGACCCTTTACTCTGTGCATCAATTAGGTCATTTATAATTGGGAGTATGAGGTTCTTGCTGTCGATCTTCCAGGAGAAGTTTTCGATTGCTTGAAGAGCAGACTTTGAATCACAGAATATTATTCCTCCTCCAATGTTTTTTAATGTACTGGTAGCTAGTTGTAATGCTGCTAGTTCTGCTTGTGTGGAGGTCAGCCAGTTGTTTAACCTGACACTGACAGACATTGTGCAAGTGCAAATATTATTTCTATAAAACCTACATGCTGCTGCAGTCCGTCCAGTAGACGACAGTACTGAGCCGTGAGTGTAGACACAGTGCTGGTGAAAATATTGCTTCAGTAATGAGTATCTGGCGGCTACTGTACCTTCCCGCTGGTGATCGCTAGGCGGCGCCCCTCTCATGGTAAACAAAGCCACGGTATACACGGAGAGATGTGTACCCTTTTTCCTCGGTGTATGTACACCGATAGTTTACTTTGCTCTTGGACTGTGTTCAAGGCTAAGGTATACTTTCTGGTTGGTCAGTAAGGTAATGTGGTGATCTGAATAACCGTCTGTATGAGGTTGGTAGGCCTTAACCCCAGCACCACACTAAGTCAGGTTGTGGGTAGTACATTAGTGTTGATCACTCATATTATAGTAGTAATGTGTTTGGAAAGTTATATTATCACTGCCTGCTGTTCAACCACATATCAACAGCTGTGCAGGTTGAAGGTGGCGGTAACACCGTGCCTATCATGAGAGGTTATCTTGAGATGATTTCGGGGCTTTAGTGTCCCCGCGGCCCGGTCCTCGACCAGGCCTCCACCCCCAGGAAGCAGCCCGTGACAGCTGACTGACATCCAGGTACCTATTTTACTGGTAGGTAACAGGGGCATAGGGTGAAAGAAACTCTGCCCATTGTTTCTCGCCGGCGCCCAGGATCGAACCCGGGACCACAGGATCACAAGTCCAGCGTGCTGTCCACTCGGCCGACCGGCTCGGCCTAGTCTAAGCTTGACTAATAGGTGCGTTCCTCTCCACCCTCCAATATTGATAGTACTTACAGCAACTGTTTTTCACAAACGTACAAACATAGAGCCAGATTCACTAAGCAGTTACGCAAGCACTTACGAACCTGTCCATCTTTTCTCAAACTTTGGCGGCTTTGGTTACATTTATTAAACAGTTTACAAGCATGAAAACTAACCAATCAACTTTTGTTATTGTTATAAACAGCCTGCTGGTGCTTCGGAGCTCATTAACTGTTTAATAATTGTAAACAATGCCGCCAAAGATTGAGAAAAGATGTACAGGTTCGTAAGTGCTTGCGTAACTGCTTCGTGAATCTGGCCCCTGGACTGTTGGACCCAAGCCGTTCACGTTTGATACTAATGAATTAGACCAACTGACATTAAAATAGTGACAAAGTAACTAAAGAAACCAAACCAACCTGTTCATACAACCTACGCCTAATATACGCTATCTTAGGCCTAATACAGTACATATATGTGCTATAGTAGGCCTAGGAATATTTAAATGAGTTTTTTCCTATATTTTTCGTGTTCTCTTCAAAATTAATAATAGAAAAACGTCAACATTGTTGGTGGAAAGAGTCCATTTTTGTGTATATTAGAGCAAACAGTTGGTTTGTATATTGAGCAAACAGTTTATTAGAGCAAACAGTATTAGAGCAAACAGTTGGTTTGTATCATGAGCAAACAGTATTATGGTTGAGGAGGCAGTGTGGGGATGAACGGGGTCACAAGCCACCAACAGTCGCCACTTGACAACATGAGGAGCAGGTACATAGTGAGCACCTTTATTACACTCCACTACTGCAGCTCACCTCTCACCTGGTCAAGTGTCTAGAGTAGGTCTGATAACAGCAGGAGGGTCTCAAGCCATTGTTATGAAGGCCAGGTGACAGAGAGGCGAGGCTCAGGTGCTGAAGCTCGCACTGAAACCACACCTAGGTGAGCTTAATCAAATATATATACGTATACAAGAATACACCACTAACGTATACTGTAGTATTATAATTTTGGTGTATAGCTGTAATAATTAATGGTTATACAAGACTTGACAATGGTTACACAAGTGAATTGTGGAGACGCAGTATTGGTGACGCCCCCTCCCCCCCCCCCACCCTTACGTTGTCCTCATAAGAGTGAGGAAGCAGCACAAGTAAGTTACAGTACCGCTCCTGTGCCAGGTAAGTCCACTACGGGCTCACCATAGCCCGTGCTACTTGGAACGTTTTGCTCCCAGTAGCTGAATCTTAAACAACAACAAGAAACAGCGCAAGTTTCCTCTAGCACTAGACTCTTCACCTGAGTTGATTGTCAATCATACGTTATTATACATTCGAAAAATTATAGTTGTCTACCAATTAGCCAATTAGTTTAGCCTAGTAAGGATACTAGGCTAAACCTCTA